CTCGAACTCCTGAGCTCAATGATCCACCCACCTCAGCCTCCCACAGTGGTAGGATCACAGGTGTGACCCCCTCCGCCTGGCCTCTCCCTCAACTTTGTATTTCTGGGATTCATCATGTTGCTCTTCAGTGTTACATCATTTATTTTCACTACTTTAAAGGAGTTTATTGGAAATCATACCACAGTTTTATTTATCCTCCCAAAGTGCTGGAATTACACGTGTGAGCCACCGCACCCAGCCAAAATACTGGCTTCCTTCTTAACCTGGTCATTAAAATGTTGAACCATTTTGTCTACAGCTTGAAGGCAATTCCCTTACTCTTCCTGAGACACCCTTTCTGTTTTATTCTGGACAGATGGCTGCTAGGACTGTTGCACAGAAGTCAGTCTAACACTCCTGGTTAAGTCCACCATTTCTTGCATTGCACAGGTTTCTCTCTCTTGGTTAAAGCTCTTTAACTTTGCTGGACCAAATCCTCAGCTTCCTTAGAAAGGGCCCATCAATCTGCAGCCAATTAAGCTGAACGGGTTCCTTTCCTTGTGGTGGCCCACTGTGCAATGGCTGCAAACAGCATCTTCCTTGGTAGTGTAATGCAGACTGTTTCTTGTATAGGTTGCTCTAAGGGATCTTGGAGACAGGCCTTTCACATGTACGTTCATGTCTCTGACCTTGCACTTGCCCAGTGGTTCATGTCTCTGACCTTGCACTTGCCCAGTGTAGGCTCTGAACAGGCATGCGAGGTGCCTTTGGAAAGCCCCAGGGCAGTGTGTTTGGAGTTCACACTGGCCAAGTTACCAGGTCCATCCGCACCAAGCTGCAGAACAAGGAGCATGTGATGGAGGCCCTGCACAGGTTCATGTTCCCTGGCCACCAGAAGATCCACACCTCAAAGAAGTGAGGCTTCACCAAGTTCAATGCTGATGAATTTGAAGACATGGTAGCTGAGAAGTGGCTCATCCCCGATAGCTATGGGGTTAAGTACATCCCTAGTCGTGGCCCTCTGGACAAGTGGCGGGACCTGCAGTCATGAGGGCTTCCACTGTGCTGCCTCCTCTTAATATGAATCAATAAATCCTACTTCCTGTCCGAAAAAAAAAAAAAGAGAGAGAGAAAGAAAGAAAGAAAGAAAGGACCCATTAAACCTACATGTTCTGAGCCTGGCAAGGCTAAATATCTTTTTTAAACCTGTTAGTGGCCAGGCATGGGGTCTCACGCCTGTAATCCCAGCACTTTGGGACGAGGTGGGTGGATCACAAGGTCAGGATTTCAAGACCAGCTTGGCCGAGATGGTGAAACCCCATCTCTACAAAAAATACAAACATTACCTGGGTGTAGTGGTGGGTGCCTGCAATCCCAGATACTCGGGAGGCTGAGGCAGAGAACTGCTTGAACCCAGGTGGCGGAGGCTGCAGTGAGCTGAGATTGCACCATTACACTCCAGCCTGGGCGACAGAGGACGACTGACTCAAAAACAAAAAAAACCTGTCAATTCATAATTGGACTGAAGATAGAATTATAAATTCAAAATAATGTTTTCTAATGTCATACATAATTGATTATGTAACCCTACAATAATTGGTTTTTTCCACCTCTAATAGACACTGCTACTCTGGGAAATGTACCAAAAAGACAGCATGGTTAAAGGTCAGTATTTCATGACCCTTTTTATACTTTCTATTTTTATTTTAGATAGGTTTCTTGGTTGATGCAAAACCTCAATTGCAGTGGGAGGGAACTGGCATGGGGAAGCTTCCAAAACAGAGGCTTCAGGAGAGAATTCTTTTTTTTTTTTTTTTTTTTTTTTTTGGTTTTTATTTTTTTTCCGTGGCTGGAGTGCCATGGTGCCATCTTGGCTCACTGCAACCTCTGCCTCCCGGGTTCAAGCGATTCTCCTGCCTCAGCCTCTTGAGTAGCTGTGATTACAGACACCCGCCAGCACACCTGGCTAATTTTTTGTATTTTTAGTAGAGATGGGGTTTCACCATGTTGGCCAGGCTGGTCTCGAACTCTTGACCTGGTGATCTGCCAACCTTGGCCTCCTAAAGTGCTGGGATTACAGACATGAGCCACCATGCTCAGTGAGATTTCTTACTTCTAACTTTTTCTTCTTGTTCTACTTATTTCACTTTTTCTTTCGTTCTTTGTTATGATTAATTTGGTAGAGCAACACCATTTATTTTCAGGGCCAACCTTGGATGTAGCATAATTATGGAAAAAGGCTGTCGGCACTAATCACTGTCACGTACCAAAAAAATCCTACAGAATCTGAAATGCCAACAAGAAGTCTAGATCCACTGGGAAATATCTGTAAATTACAGATCTTTCCATTTCAACTGGCATGACAAAAACTTTCAGCTTCAATGATTTACTCAATTCCTGAGCCATCTTTAAAGTCTTGTGGGTTTTTCGTTCATTTGTTTTTTGAAACAGGGCCTTGTTCTGTTGCCCAGGCTGGAGTACAGTGGAGCAATGATAGCTGACTGCAGCCTTGACCTCCCAGGCTCAAGAGATCCTCCTACTTCGGCGTCTGAAATTAGCTGGGACTACAGGTGTACCCCACTACACCCGACTAATTTTTAAATTTTTAGTAGAGAGAAGGTCCTGTGTTGCCCAGGCTGGTCTCAAACTCCTGGGCTCAAGCAGTCCTCCAGCCTTGGCCTCCCACAGTGTTGGCGTTACAGGCATGAGCCACTTCGCTTGGTGGACTGGTCAATTTGTCACTTTTTAAAAAGGTTTTAAAAGTTATGATTTATGTAGCATCAAATTCATTTATTTTAGCTGTACAATTCTATTATTTTTAAAAAAGCTTTCCGGCTGGGTGCGGTGGCTCTTACCTGTAATCCTAGCGCTTTGGGAGGCCAAGGCAGGTGGATCACCTGAGGTAAGGAGTTTGAGACCAACCTGAAACATGGTGAAACCCCATCTCTACTAAACATACAAAAATTAGCCAGGCGTGGCGCTGTGCACCTGTAATCCCAGCTACTTGGGAGGCTGAGGGAGGAGAATTGCTTGAACCCAGGAGCGGAGGTTCTGATAAGCTGAGAGCGCACCATTGCACTCCAGCCTGGATGACAAAGCAAGTCTCCCTCTCAAAACAAACAAACAAACAAACAATTCATCAGCCCGGTTTGGCTCACGCCTGTAATCCTTACACTTTGGGAAGCCAAGGCGAGCGGATCACTTGAGGTCAGGAGCTGGAGATCAAACTGGATAGCATAGCAAAACCCTGTCTCTACTAAAAATACAAAAATTAGCCTGACCTGGTGGCAAGTGCCTGTAATCCCATCTACTCAGGAGGCTGAAACAGAAGAATCACTTGAACCCGGGAGGCGGAGGTTGCAGAGAGCCAAGACCCCGCCACTGCACTCCAGCCTGGGCGACAGAGTGAGACTTCGTCTCAAACCAACCAAAAGACAAAAACAAAAACATATTATTATTTGTCAAAAGCCTATTCATCACCTGGAGCCTTATGGGCACCACTTATCCTTGGTACTTTCCCTTCCAGAACACTATTGCAATTGGCTGCTACGGTCTGAATGTGTTCTGCCAAATTCATGTGCTGAAACTTTGTGGGAATGTGGTAGCACTGAGAGGACAGGCCTTTAGGAGATGATTACGTCAGAAGAGCGGAGCCCCCATTGTGGGATTAGGACCCTTGTAAAAGGGCTTCAGAGAGTGGGTTTACTTTGTTACCATGTGAGGACCACCTGGGCGGTGCTGTCTGTGAGGAATAGGCCCTCCTCAGACATGGAACCTGCTGCGACCTTGATCTTGGACTTCCCAGCTTCCAGCACTGTGAGAAAATAAATTTCTGTTCTTAATAAATTGCCCGGTCTCAGGTACTTCATTACAGCAGTACAAACAGACTAAACATTAGCTTATCCCTTTTGACGATTTCTCTGCCTTCATCGTAATGGGATCTCTGAGGGGAGGTGAGACAAAAATGTATGATCCAGTTTTGTTGCACTGAACCAAAGCTCTTTGAATTTTATTTAAAATTAAGTACAGCTGTATAGAGGCTACATGGCCTCCCTCCCATCCTGGTCCCACACCAGCCTTTCTTTTTTTTTTTGAGACAGAGTTTCCTCTTGTTGCCCAGGCTGGAGTGCAATGGCCCGATCTCAGCTCACCGCAACCTCCATTTCCTAGGTTCAGGTGATTCTCCTGCCTCAGCCTCCTGAGTAGCTAGGATTACAGGCTTGCACCACCACGATTCGCTAATTTTGTATTTTTATTAGAGACGGGGTTTCTCCATTTAGTTAGGCTGGTCATGAACTCCCGACCTCAGGTCATCTGTCCACCTCGGCCTCCCAAAGTGCTGGGATTACAGGCGTGAGCCACCTCGCCCGGTTTATACTATAAGCTTTAAATAGAGAATGTTCTTGTTCTGTTCATGAAGGTTTTATAAATGCTGGAGTCCAGTCATAAATAGAAATTTACACATCCGTTCCATTACTGTACTTTTCCAGATCCCTGGTAAATCCATAGCTCGGGTCTTGTGCGGCGCAAGCAATTCCTTACTTTCTCACAGGGGGGCGCCGCAGAGAAGGGCAGAGCAGAGCACGCGGTCCCAGAGCGTGCCTTCCAGGAGGGGGCGCGTCCATGGGGCTGGGTCGATGCGAGCGGTGCGCAACGTCGGGGGCGGGAACAACACTGGCCCTACCCCTGCACGCTGCGGCGCCTTGTGATTGGAGGAGGGAACGGTCACTTGGCAGCGCCGTTGGGATTAGGGGAAGAGGGCCGGGTTGGAGGTGACGCTGAGGCCGCCAGGGTGCGGAGGGCTTGGCCGCTGCTGCAGATTGGGCGTTCGTCCCTCATCTCTCTGTGGTGAATGGCGACGAGATGGAGCGCGAGGAGAGCGGCGGGTCGGCCGGGCTCCTGCAGCAGATCCTGAGCCTAAAGCTTGTGCCGCGGGTGGGCAACGGGACCCTGTGCCCCAACTCCACTTCCCTCTGCTCCTTCCCAGGTACTGCCCGCCCCGCGCCTGCGCACTGCGCGCCCCACCGCCGCTTCGGCGGTTCTGTGGGCGTCCAGAGTCTGGGCGGGGTCCCCTGTGTGCCGCCAGCCGGCGGGGTGGGCGCTGTCCTCCTGGAAAGGGGGTGTCCCGCTGCTCGCCCGGAGCCCCCTTTCCCCGTCACTTCCTCCCTGGCCCCCGAGTCCCTCTGGCCGTGAGGTTCGGGGAGCGGCCGCAGGTGGGCCCGGGGCTGAAGGTCGCTCGGCCGCCATCCAGCGGGTCTTGGCCTTTGGAGCTTCCGAGCACCCCGGGTTCAGACCTGCACCCCACGAGCCCGGGAGGCGGTGGTCCCCGCCCCGTCTGGGTTGCCTCATGGCACCCGCCTCCTTCGAGGGGCCTCGGAGCGGCCCGGCCGGCTGAGGGGTCAGAGCTCGCGCTCCACTTGCCCGAGGTCTGCAGCCTGGCCTCTCCGCAATCGCGGGCGCCTCGGGCTAAATCCATCCTCTCCGAGACCCGTTCGGCTTTCCAGGAATCTCCTTCCAAGACCTGGTGCCACCTGTTGCCGCGTTCCCACTAAGCCTTCCAGATCTTTGGCACAGCCTCCTTTGAACTCTTCCTGCCCCCTGCAGCAGGAGCTGGACCTGCTGGGAGGGTTGCTCACAGTTCCAATGCCAGGAAGAACTGCCCGTGCGCGGAAAGCTGGAGGGAGGAGCGAGGACTTCACCTGGGAAGACGGAGAAAGGCTTTGAGGGGAGGCACAGTTATTTGTGTGGACCTTGAAAGGCAAGAAGACTGGGGCCCGTGTTCCTGGAAGGGGAGGTGGGGCTCCCAGCAGAGGGGACTGAGATCTTCATAAACAACGGGGTAGCAGAGGCGAGGGAAGGAGGACGGGATTCCAGACTCTAGTCCCAAACAAGGCACCTGTGATTTCTCATCCCCTGGGCAGCGACTGGCAGGCGCCGTTCAGCGGACACCTGGGACTTGCAGTGTGATTATGTGCCCAGGGTTTTTCCTGGTGGGGACTGTGAAGTCGCTGGTAAAGTAATCAGGCAGGTTGGGGTCTGATGCAGTTGTTAACTTGTGGTCATGCCTGAAAAGAGAATCTGGGAGCTCACTTTATATCAGAAGGTGCCAGGATCGCTTTTGACAGTGATATCAAAAAATTGATGGTATTCTGGGGTCCCTATGTGAAAAATGAAATGTTCGTTCAATCTGGAGGCACTATTGGGACCAGATTAATCTGTTTTTGTTTCCTTAATTTTTCCCCTTTCCTGAAAAATTGTAAGCCTGCCGAAGAATTGAGCGAACAGGACAAGTACCCATGTGCCCTTTACTTAGATTTGGTTATATTGTGATAGTTTGCCGCGCGCGGGCGCTCTCTCTCTCTATATATATACATGTATATAAATATATATATATGATCACATGTATCATATATATATATATGTATATCACACTTAGTTGTGTGTCATATATCCCTTTTCAACTCTGGAGTCATTCAGTACAAAGTTGCAGAAATCATATAACACTTGATGCCTGATATCTTAGCATGTATTGTCTAAAAAACATTTTCTGTAATAACCACAAAACCATATAATATCCAAGAAATTTAACATGATAGAATATTGTTATCTAATGTATGGGCCTTGTTTAAATTTCCCCAATTGTCCACATATTTTATGTGGACATTTTTATGTGGAATATAGTTTATGTGGAATATTAAAAAAAAAATTCCATGATCTAAGGTTCACACATTGCATTAAGTTGTCCAGTCTCTTTAGTTTCATTTAACTAAAACAGTTCTTTCCTTGTTTGAATTTCCTAAGATGGACATTTTGGAAGAGTTCATGTGAATTGTTTTATAGACTGTTGTACAATCTGGGTTCATTAGATTTTCTTCATGATTAGATTTAGATTAAACATTTTTGGTCAGAACTCTATCCATCTAGGTGATGTACACTTACCAGTACATCACATCAAGAAATATTGAATGTCAGCCCAGCAAGGTGACTCACGCCTGTAATCCCAGCACTTTGGGAGACTGAGGCAGGCAGATCACCTGAGGTAAGGAGTTCAAGACCAGCCTGGCCAACATGGCAAAACCTTGTCTCTACTAAAAATACAAAAATTAGGCGTAGTCGTGTGTGCCCTGTAATCCCAGCTGCTCGGGATGCTGAGACACGAGAATCTCTTTTCTTTTCT